TCTCCAAGGCGTATCCATTAAGCAGCTCACTCAGTTACATAAGGCTACAGGTATAAGCTCTAGTTTATGATGAATGGAGGGATTAGTTAAGATTGAACTACGGTGTCAGGCCATATGCCAAGTCCAAACCACCATGGAAACAACCACAGGTTGCAAAGTGGGGCCTGCAAACAAAAAAGGGCCTTAAAGAGGGCCTCTAACATTTTGTCCACTGGGTCCTTGAACACAGAATTATTCTCTACAGGATGTACAGAGGAAAATCTATGATTGTTGACTGACTGGAGAGACTTCCAGGATTTCCAATATGTGGCCTGAATCTACCAGTGGCTGTTGATATTAGAAAACTCTTAAAATTTAAAGCAGAATTCTGGGCAAAAAATGTCTTTACATAGTTTTATTGCTGCTTTCCTATTTTCCTAGAATATCGAGTCTGTCTCCTGTTTGACTTTGTAGTTTCTGAGAAACAGCATGTGCATTTTTTAAATCATGGGGTTAATCCCCAGTGTCTTCCTGTTTGTAAGATTGCATTGCCCCAGCCACTGGTCTTGGCACATCCCTCCTGTAGTTTCCATGTCAGCAGTAGTGATGCAATTCCTGCTAGCTGTAGTGGGAGGACCAGTCTGAGACTCCCAGTCTGAACTGCCCACAGGAGCAGAGTGCCCCTCCTCCTATCCAATAGTGACAGCTGACAGCAAGCCTGGAACTGTAAACAACATAGGCAGGCTAGGGTAAAGGATGTCCCTGGGGATTCAGAAGGCACTGTGATAGCTCAGCAGGGAGATGCACATCACTCATTACTATTAATTGTGCTGATCCACACAGGGAGAGATAAGGGATTTGATGTCCTCTCTATAAGCAGAGGAGAACAGGAAAGGAAGCTGAGCTGCTACACAGACTTAAAACGGAGCTCTACCCAAAAGGGGAAGTTCCACTTTAAAGTCTCGTCCCCCTCTCTCTTATAAGTGTGGGAAGGGGGGGGAGTGGAAGGGATTTTGACAGGTACCCGCTTCCACTTCCACTGATCGGAAGTGGAAGTCCCCCCCGTAGTCTTCTGGAACACATGGCAGGTCTCAGAAGACTGTGTGAAGCAGCAAGCTGTCATAGCCGAGTGCCCACACTTAAGGTGCTGGTGCCGAGGACACAGGACAGCCGGTAAAACCAGCTGCAGTGAGAAAAACTGCTGGATCATAGGATAGGTGAGCGGCTATTTTATAAAAGTCAGCAGCTACTGGGAGGGCTGGCTCTGTACTGAGAGGTTGGTATTGAAGGGGGGGGGGGGGGAGATGAGGGGGGTTTCTGTACTGAGGCATCTGAACTGGCAGAAGTGGAGTCTGTTCTGAGAAGTCTGTACTGGGTGGGAGGCATGGCTGTGCTGGAGGGGGGTCTGTGTTGGAAAGCTGGTTGGTCTGTGCTGGACAGGGAGCCTGTATTGAGGGAGTAAGTTGGGAGGGAGGATGTCAGGGGAGATCTCTATCATGAGGAATATGGGTGGGGTGAGATGTACTGAGCAGAAGGGGTCATTTAGGTGGTAATTTGTGGTATGTGCATAAGGGCTTGTTTACATTAGTGGTTGGTGGGCAGTAAAACCCCTCGGCTGATCCACAGTTTTACGACCTCCCAACTACTCCCCCGTTTAGCTGTAGAGGAAGCAGTCAGGGGTGTACACATGCTGTGGCCACAATGCTTTGGTTCATTGGCCGCGGCTTGTTAGTAATTGTTTTTTTTTTTTAAATAAATATAAAAGTGCACCCACCTCTTGAAGGTTGCCTACCCCTGAACTAAACATTTTGCACATGAATGTTTTACATTTATAAGGTTATCACCTAACTATCCTGCTGTGTGGTGCTGAGCAGTATGGCTGGAGAATGAGGGGGCGTGATTTAAGTTGATGTGCATGAGTACACATTCAACATGTACAGGTCTAGTGTACCCACCCACATTAATTGCAATCCGTAAAGGTTGATGGGGCCTGTAGTTTCCTTTTACTGTAGAGAGAGAGGAAAGGATATCTTTTGCTGTTATCTTTTGAATTTCAATGAAGACTTTCTAAAAATTCAGTTAGACTTTTCTTTTCAATGGCAAGGAATTTCACAAATGTGTGGACTGTTTAGTATTTTGTGTAGGAGGTGTACTAATGGGTGATTTTTTTGCCTTCTGTAAGAAAAAAATATTTCAGAAGGAAAGAGACATCCATTTTCCAAGGGACAATAAACAAAACTGAGCAGGTGGGTGGGGTTAGAGTCTGAAGGGGATTAGCCTTTCGTTTCTAGGTGCCTAATGTAATATTCTCCTGTAGGAGGAAACCCTAGGTTTCTTACTACTAAGTTGTGTCCCTCGCTGGGTGATAGGGAAATGTGTTCTTTCAGCCATAAGTAGATAACTGCTGACAGAAAATGGAATAACTTTTGTTGCCTTCTGTCCACAGTTCATCACCCTGAATTCTTGCACTGCTGGCAGTTGTTCACAGCACAATGAGACATATTAGATGTTGTTAAATGAGTGGTAAAAAAACACAAAGCAAATATATTAAGATAAGAGAGAGAGAAAGAGAGAGGGGGGAGAGAGAGAGAGAGAGAGAGAGAGAGAGAGAGCTTCTGTATGTATCCCTCCAGATATTTTTACCCTACTGTAATTATAAGGGGCACTATCATTTGCATTTTATTGGGATTTTATGTGATAGACTAACACAAAGCAGCACATAATTGTGTGGATAAGTGGAAGGAAAATGATTAATTGTTTTCAAGCTTTTTTACAAATAAATACTGTATCTGAAAAGTGTGGTGTGCATTTGTATTCAGCCCCTCTGAGTCAATACTTTGTAGAACCACCTTTTGCTGCAATTACAGCTGCAAGTCTTTTTGGGGATGTCTCTACAAGCTTTGCACATCTAGAGAGTGAAAATTTTGCCCATTCTTCTTTGCAAAATAGCTCAAGCTCTGTCAGATTGGATGGAAAGCGTCTGTGAAAAGCAATTTTCAAGTCTTGCCACAGATTCTCAATTGGATTTAGGTCTGAACTTTGACTGGGCCATTCTAACACATGAATATGCTTTGATCTAAACTAAACCATTCCATTGTAGCTCTGGCTGTATGTTTGCTATTTGCTACAATACCTTTGGGCAGTCTGGAGTAACAGGAGCATTTGTAGTGATTGTATCTCCTCGGGGAGTGTTTACCTTGTAAAAAGCGCTTATGACCACTCTGTCCCTTAGAGTTACATTATAATTTGGAAAGCCTTGCATGAGAGTGGAAGGTGTCACTACTGATAATCTGGGAAGCTCAATTTCCATCACAGCATGTGGGACTTTTGCCTCTTTTAGTGGGTCTTTACGTTACAGCTGAAATATACCTTCTATGGACTCTCTTATCTTTCAATTATTTAATTATATGTGGTCGTTAACATTTTTGGTTTATACTTATTTATTAATTTATGCACATTGAACTTTTTATATGAGGTTAAGCCTGTTTTGATCCTTTATTATTTATTTATTAACTTTTTGCACACTGCACTTTTTATATGCAGTCAAGCCTTACTGTTTTGATGATTTTTTTTCTTACATTATATTTATTTTATACTTAGAGACCATTAATTATGTCTTAATAATTCACTCAATTTTTCACATTGCACTTTTGGTATGAGGTTATGTCTCATTACTCTTCGTGAGATGTATGATATATATTGACACTTCACATTTAGTTTATAATATTCACACTTAAGTATCATTTTTGTTCTTCATAAGACACATTTGATTTTTATTTTCCCTTTTCCCTGCTGCACTGTTTCTATAGTTATATTGGTTTGTGCTTGGTATCAAGGCATAGTGTCAGCTGTTGATGTATATTTTGTTCCCCTGAGCACAGATTTTCTATACATTTTTTATTTTGATGTGTTCCTATAGTCCAACAAGTTATAATTCATAAGTGTCCAACCGAAAAAAAACTTTATAATGCAGTGGTGTTCTGTGGTATCACAGAGTTCATAATACTTCCAGGTATCTTATACCCAGAACTCAGATTCCATATACATTATCCTCAATAAATCCGCAAAAAAAATAAAAATTAGTGCTCTCCATCTTGACTTTATAATAAACCATAGATTAAAAACATTATGTGAATAAAAACATTTCCACGTTTTTGTAAATCCTCTGCACAATTACCAATCCTAACAGCACAACCACAGCTACACTCACCTGCCTGCCTCACAGAATTCTTCTCCCTCTCAGCGGTGTCTGAGTACCAGTTCCCTTCCAGCATGATGACATCACCAGGGAATGCTCTGCTTTGTGCTTTCCGTCTCTACAAGACTTCATCAGCGGCTAAGGATTCCCTGTCATCATGCATTAAAATATTCTCCTCTTTATTGCCATGATTCCCGGTATACAAAGCAACTATTATTGTTCTATTGAGTGTACGTCACCTCTTTATATCCTAGTATTCCATCTATTATATATTCCATCTTAGTATTTACTGTCTACCCTAATTATTGCTACATTCCTGCATAAATCTTATTATTACTCCAAGCTTATAAACATGCACTCTTTTTTTTGTGATCTGAAGGAGGAAAAGAAAACTGGTGAAAGTAGAAAAAAATCTTCTCAAACAAAAGGGGTTCACCACCTAAAGACACAAGCAAAGAGCTGGAGTGGGCTGGGTTATATATTGATACAGTGGGGCAGTCCCATCAAAGTGTTGGGCAGTGTCCAATCACCTGAATGTACTGTAAGGCAAAAAGGCAAAAAAAAAAAGGGAAAAAACTAATTTTTGAGAAAAAAAGAAGACATGGCTAGTAAAAAGGAGTTATTTTTTTCTCAGTAGAGAATAGCAAAATAATTAGGGATGCTGGAAGTGGGAGGTATTATACCAGGCTGGTTACTAGTTTTTTGTTTGCCAGTGTTCAAATCCTCCTATACAACCCAATGTCTTTGAATCCTTTGTCCTTAATGAATAACAAAGAAATACAAATCCCTCTTGTACTGATACAGAATCTTTATGAATCCTTACCTTGATGATGTGAGCAAAATATTTTCCAGACACCTTGTTATCTGTCTTGATGAAGATTTCCCTAAGAACAGATTCACCTACTGGGTTATATTTGGCATTGAACTTGTCAAAGCGATGGAAAGTATTTCTATCCTATTAAAGAAAAAAAATACATTTCAGATAGAACAAATATATAGATATTATTAAAAATACAGTATATTTTTACTATAAGACAACCAAACGGATCAATTTTCTTATATGGATGTTTCTACTTACTTTGGAAGAAGAAGACTTTGTTACTTATTTCATTTAATCTTCTTAAATTTACCAGATCTATACAGGATTCCACCTACCTCCAACATAAGCCAATCCACCCTTTGGATTCTTCTGATCCCTATACAATATTCAAAGACATGTTTTTGGACCATTTGGAGGATAGGGGTTCATCTCTCAAATTTATAACTACATTAACGTGTCCCACCCACTACTACATTCTATAAAGATTGCTTGGGACCAGAATAATGGGACAACTTTATTCCAACAATGGCAGTTGATGTTTACTATTATGAAAAATGTTCCTGCTCCTTGACTATCTGAGAAGTGGTATTAAAATTGTTACAGTGATAGTTTACCCCTAGTAGGCTTCGTAATATATAGCCAGGGGTTGATGGACGGTACTTTAGAGGATGCCAAAAACAGGGCACATTGAAGCACATCTTTTTGAGCTGCTGCTTTGTTCAGGTCCCTTGGGGTAGGGTACAGGATCGTATTTGTCAGTTCACCAGCATTACTCTTGATCTTTCCTTAGCTCAAGAATTGTTGTACCTTCCTCACCCTTCTACCCCAAAGGTATATCATAAACTGATTTCATCAATACTGGGGGCTGCACAGTGCATAGTCTATTGCGTATACCTAGAAGTCACCAAATCTTTACTAGAATTTATCACTAGGGTTGATTCTATTTATCTCATGGAACAGGTTTATCTTATTACCTTATTCATTACTCCTTTCCCACGTACCAAACTGAGTGGGATACCAGGCTTAACTACAAGACACCTTTTGTAGGGTCACCTTTTTCAAGGTATTTACTTACTGCTCTATTAGTTTGTGATGTCTGCTATTTGTTCCTCCAACGCTTTATATGGAAACAGAACATTTAGCTTTGTTAATTCCTTTCTTTGCTTCTTTATAGAGTTATTTCCTTTGGGTATCTGAGCTACTGCATTTGTGTACTGTACATGTACTGTTCAATTTTCTCCATGATAGTTTGTGACAATTATTCAGTCATGCAATTCTGTACCCAAATGAATTTTACCTAATTTTAAACAGCTGGAGTGTTCTGTGGTATTTAATAACCACTAGGTTTTTTTTCTTTCACCATAAAAAGAAAAAGGACTTTACATTTTGAAAGAAAACCTGTTTCCCTTACTTTTTGTTATAAAACATATCAATCAAATAATCATTCTTCATATATGCAGGTTAAAATGCACTCTGCTACTTTTCTTTGGTAAAAAAGTACAAAAAAAACTAAGCATATATTATTTAGACAGTGTGAAAGTTATAGTGTCTATAGTAACTAAGCTATATATATTTGAAATTAATGAACCCTGATGTTCTGACTGCCCATTTCATTTCTTGAGGGCTTAAAATACCAGAAAATTACAAACACCTCCAAAATTATCCTTTTGGAAAGTAGTCATCCCATTGTATTTACTAAGGGCACGATAAGTTTTTTGAAGAACAATTGTTTTGCCACAATGTTTTGGAAAATGAGGAAAGAAAATAAAATTATTTGTTTTAACACAGTTGTCATTTAACCACTTGCCTACCAGGCACTTATACCCCCTTATTTACCAGGCCAATTTTCAGCTTTCAGCGCTGCCGCACTTTGATTGACAATTGCGCGGTCATGCAACATTGTACCCATATGAAATTTTGATCATTTTTTTCTCACAAATAGAGCTTTCTTTTGGTGGTATTTAATCGCCACTGGGCGCTTTACTTTTTGCGCTATAAACAAAAAAAGTGCAAAAAATTTGAAAAAAAAAAAAGTTTCTTTGTTTCTATTATAAAATTTTTCAAACAGGTAATTTTTCTCCTTCACTGATGTGCGTTGATGAGGCAGCACTGATGGGCACTGATAGGCAGCACTGATAGGCAGCACTAAAGGGCACTGATAGGCAGTACTAATGAGGTGTCACGGATAGGCGGCACTAATATGCAGCACTGATAGGCGGCACTGATAGGTGACACTGATGATGGGTACTGATAGACGGCACTGACTGGCATCACTGCTGGGCACTGACTGGCGGCACTGACTGGCACAACCGCTGGGCACTGACTGGTGGCACTGACTGGCAGCACTGCTGGGCTGCACTGGTGGGTGGCACTGGTGGGCAGCACTGGTGGGTGGGCACAGGTGGGTGGCACTGGTGGGCACAGGTGGGTGGGCACAGGTGGGTGGCACTGCTGGGCACAGGTAGGTGGCACTTCTGGGCACAGGTGTGTGACACTGCAGAGTGGCACAGGTGGGTGCATTGCTGGGCACAGGTGGGTGCACTGCTGGGCACAGGTGGGTGATCTGCTGGGCACAGGTGGGCGGAGCTAGTGGGCGCACTGTTGGGCACAGGTGGGCGGAACTTGTGGGTGGCACTGCTGGGCACCGATCATCAGGGGCACTGATCATTAGTGCCCTGATGATCGGTGCCGATCCTCGCTCTGACAACTGCCGGTTCTCGGCAGTACTTTCCTCACGATTTGACAGCGTGAGGAAAGTGCAGCCGAGACCGGCAATTGAATTTCCCGGTGATCAGCGTGTCATTGATCACGTGGTAAAAGGCCGCTGTGATTGGCCTTTTACCACATCACGTGATCAGCTGTGTCCATAGGACACAGTGATCACGGAGATCGCCGGGGTGCGCGCCCCCTGGGGCGCGCAGGAGAGCGTGTTCTGGGAGGACGTCATATGACGTCCACCCAGAACTGGCCGGCCGCAGTGCAGCCGTCATTCGGCTATCTGCGGTCGGCAACTAGTTAAACATGTCATTTCTTATGCACATATACACACAGGCATATTAACAAATACACTACAAAACACATTTTGCTACTCCTCCTTATTATGGGGTACCACACATGTGAGGCTTTTTAACTGCCTGGCTGCATAGGAGAGCCAAGAATCCAAGGAGCATCTTCAGGCATTCAAAGGACATAAATTACACATCATATTTTCAGTGCCAGAACATATAGAAACACATGAAAATGACTACATTTTGGAAATTAAACATGCCATTTTCTAAAAAGCCATGGTAACTCTTTGAAGAATTTATTCTTTTGCAAGGAGCAGGCTTTCAAAGAGGAAAAAAATACACATTTGAACTCCTACCACATTTTTGTAGACCCGAAGGTGCCAGGAAAATAGAAACACCCCAAATTGTCCATGTTTTGGAAAACAAATACCCCAAATATTTGCTAAGAAGCTTGGCTCTTTTCGCAGGGAACTTTTCATCCTCTGGTACAGGTGGCCATTAATTTACAGTTGTTTTCTATAGGTTCATACCCTAAATCTGAATATGATTGTTTGACATTGAGCAGCACAGCAAAAAACATACACGAGCACTATCTGCAAACAACAACTCCAGAAAAACTGGCACTGACTGTGAATAGCAAACTGGAAACACTGGCCCTGACTCTGATCAGCAAACTAGAAACACTAGCTCTGTCTCTGAACAACAAACTGGCAGTTGCCGTGGTCTGCAAACTGGAAAAACTGGCACTTGTCATGGTCTGCAAATTGGAAACACTGGCACTTGTCATGGTCTGCTTATTGGAAACACTGGCACTTGTCGTGGTCTGCAAACTGGAGGCAACTTAGCTTGTTGATTTTAAATTGTGTATTAGAGATTTGTTTGTTGCTGTACTTTTAAATTGTATTATGAAAATAAATTATTATTGGGTTTTTTTTATTTATATTACTGATTATTATTGGTTAATAATCTCCTGGGGAAGAGGGGGGCATAATAGTCCTTATTTTTCCTCTTTAGCAGTGATTTACAATTTGGGATGATGCCCCTAGGACATTGTGATATACTGTAGATATCCTTACAATTTCACCTTTTTAAATCTAATTTTGCTTTATAGTTGCACTGTGCACTGTTTGCTGGGCCGAAAACACAATATGGATATATTCATCAGATATAAATCAGGGGGAAAAAAACAAATATTCTCCTACAAGAATTCTGCCTTTGTGTAATATACTATTGTGGTTCTTTTTAACTCAAAATAAGGGTCCTGTTCTTTAAGAAATTCTAAAGTGTTATTTATGGAGGGAAATTGTAGGTGCTGACCCATTCAAAATGACAACTGTAATGTAAAGTGTAAGATAAAGATTATCAATGTGTTTAACCAAGATTCCCATGACTTTCACCCAACATTTAAACATCTATTGGTTAGAATCGGGGGTGAAAACATACCGTAAATAGACCAACACGTCTTTGAGGCAGTAACTAGATATCTGGTGTCTGGTGGTTCTGATTAATCATTGCTGACAGTTTATTATTAATACAATAGATAAACTGCAGACAGCAGAGACTGTTCTGTTTCAATAACCTTTGCTTTGCTCTGATGACGAGCAGCAGAGTAAGGGTAACTTAATATAAACATTACAAGTTATTATGCATAGTACAAATAAACTAAAAACATTTACCTACCTTTGGGTAACTATAAATATTTACAATATACTACTATCCTCCTTTCTTCTAAAATGGTATTTGACAATGCTCTTAAGACTTTAGCCTTGGCTTCTTATATATGCGGCGCAGTATATCGCATGTGATTCACACAGGAACCGTACCGCATTCCTGTTCAAATCACATGCGATTTGTGTGCGGTGTGATTGGAGCCATACAATCGCACCGCACTGCACCCACTCCAAAAAGGTGCAGGACCCTTTTTTGGGTCCGCACTAGAATGGGATCGCATGGGTATTCACACCTATGCGATCCAATTCTGCACATCGCACCATGTTTTGCGGACCGCTTTCGGGGTGTTGTTAACTTAACATACACACCCGCAGTGGTTCGCATGAACGGAGTGCGATTCTGATGCGGTGCAGAATTTACACAGAAAACGCTGCGAATTCCGCACCGCATCAGTGTGAACCAGGGCTTAAACAAAAAAGTGCAAGGCATATAAGTAAGGCTAGGTTCACATAGACACAGTGCGATTTTCCTGCCAGTTTCAGTGTGATTTCAAAAGGTAGCTGTTCAGTGATTCAGGTACAATTTGGAGCGTTCTTAGTCAGTTTCTCTCTCTCTCCTGACATGGAGCATGGATGGGAGATAAGGAACAAAGCAAAGATTTGCAGAAATTGTACTGGAACCATGTTATCTTTGGACAGATAAGCAATTTCCATTCAATCCTATGTAGCTACAAATCGCACCACACTGCAAAAAAATTCATACAGGACCCTTTTTCAAATTGCATCTGAATAACACTGCATATATGTGAACGGCCTCCATAGAAACTCATGTTATTTCACTAGTCATGTTATTCAATGTGTTCTTGAATGCATCAGAAATCATCTCAGTGTGAATAAGGGTTAAAGGAAGCTGTGTTCTTTTTCTAACTGTAATATAAGGTATTTAGAGCTATTATCCCCATGCATTCAACTCACCGCATGCACATCCAACGTGTCTACACTCAGGTCATATGCTTTTAGGTTCATATTCTGGAAGACTTGGTGCAGTGTCTGCTCTTTTCCACCTTCTTCAAACACAATTTCTTCATTGTTCTTTTTCATAGCCCGTTTAATAAACCGTAGAAGATGCTTCTGGTTCATACAGGAAGCTGCATGTATATGAGTGTCCACCTTTAAAAGTGAAGCCTGAGATAAGTATCACATTAAACTGTAGGTGAACAGACAACAAGCACACACGGAAAATGAACGAACCTTACGTATATTGTAGAAATCTCTGTGAGGGACCTTCTTTTGAGCTGCTAGCTCTTTCAGTTCATTGAGAAGAACATGCATCTGGAAGCGGGAGCTCAGGTACTGCAGCCGACGGTAGCAGAAAGACTTACTATGTGGAATTTAAGCTTGGTAAATATTAATGAGAATACATAATGGCTTTTAATGAATTTTACATTTATTTACTGAAACAAAAACTTTATTTTACAAAACACGGTTAAAACAGGTTACATCAGCAACACTAACACCTCCTTCACATGGGAGATTATGTGCATACAGTAGATTTCAGAGGCAAGAATCGTCAGACTCTTGTGGCTGTGATCACAGGTGCTTTTGAACATCTGCTGTAAAAAGTAATGATGGGCAGAGGAGCCACTGCTCTTCCCATATATCTGCATGACTAACAGTCTCCTGTGTTAGGGACAGATGAGACACCCTGGATACAGACAGATGCCACCAGGGTTGAACAGCTGTCCCTAACTGCAATTACCCCCTGATTGTGTGGATACATGTGAACAGCAATGGCACCTCTCCACCTATCATTGCTTTGTACAGGCTGCACGGCTGCAACTGTTCACATACACCTGTGATCCCAGCGGGAATAATCCCCTGATGCACATAAGCGCCCATGTGAATGGGCCCTTAGTTTGAAAAGCATGCTAGTCTTTCAAATGAGAAAGTCCAGTGCAACCTACTGTTGGAAGTGCTTGGTATGGTCCTGTCTGTGCCAGGAGTTAGCAGTTCATGTGTCTCCCTGATTCTTTAGCAATCTGTACAGTCAAATCATCCTGCTAGAACAGTCACACAGATGTTATCAAAGGTACAGAAGCTGTTATCTGAGCATTCAGAAAACTAGCACTCTTGCCTAAAGCGTGCCATCTGCTGGCTTCATGTGGTACTATTAAAGTGGAGCGCGAAAGCATATACATAAAGTACAAATATTTTAGAACGAAAACACTCTGAAACTATAAGGCCCCCTTCAGACCTGATCTGAACGGGTGTCATTGAAAACAATGGGCTGCAACTTGTCATGCAACTTTATGCAACTTTATGTGTCAAAAGTCGTGCAGCTGCCTTTAAGAGACATGTGGGAATGAAAAAAAAGAAAACAAACAACACACTAGAAGGCCACAACCGTTGATCAGATGCAGCAGCTGTAACCTGCTGGCTCTACTCGGCACAAAGACTGCTGAAAACACACTCATGTCGCAAACGTGCGCATGTCGCAAACGTGCGCATCAGATGGACGCGGTTCAACCATTTTGTTAGGCATCTCCATTTTCTCCCCTCATCAGGAGGAACTGGGTTTCCAGGCCCCCTCCCTGGTTTCTGTCCCCCGGTACTTACTGAGGGGAGACATCTGGCCCTGTTTATGGGTCACTGGCAAGGCAAGGCATCCCTAGTTCGGTGCCGAGAGGTCTGCGAAAGTTTAGCCTTTCTTTCTCTTACTAGAGCAAGGATGGCAAAGGCCAGTGTTCCCAAGAGAATTGGAGCCTCACTTAACCAACGTGCCTGTGTAGTTTCACACCTCGTAAAACAGATAACGAGCCTTCCCAGAAGTTGAAAGAAATGCTGACCTGATGAGCCTAACTCAGTGGAGGTGACAGAATCAGATAAACTCTGTTAAACTCCATTTTTCCACTATGTCTCATATCTTGGAATATGAGAGACATAAAAACCAGACATCCCGTCAGATTGGCTAGGAGCAGGCGAACAGTTTGATGGGTCATTCGAATTATCTCGGACCATCAGGGGAGCCGAACCATAGAACTCGTGAACCGTGCAACACATATAATTTCATAATTCATATCTAGATAAACCTCAGACTTGTCTGCATAATAATATACCTGCGGGTAAATTGTCGCGTGTGCAGCTGGGAAGTTATAGACCAGAATATGAATTATGAAAGATGTTGGTTCCAATTTTGGGTTCCGCCTGCCGATCCCTCTCTAAACAGAGTATTGGTCAGTTACTCAGAACCACCCCTCTGCTGGGACACTTTAAAACAGGCTATCAGGCCTAAGAAAGTAAGTTAAAGACGTCTCCCATTCTTAACATCAATCTACCACCTGGGGAGACCTTTCGCTCTGAAACGTGATCTGCTTCCATTCAAGGCTTAATGGCAAGTAACTTAACCCTTTAACTTCTCCCTGTTATCTCTTTGCTGTGCTGTGCTGTTTTTTTTGTATATATATATATATATATATCTTAGTACATCTTCTCTGTAAATATTTTATTGCACCTGTTTGACCCTTTTAGTAATAAATCTCTCTTTCTGAAAGTGTTGAACTGTTTCTACAGCCCTTAATTGCAATTTACGAATCCCTGCCTTTAAATAGACTCTACTGTTTGTTTTAACTCTCTGTATAACCAGCCTGTGTCAATGACTGGGTTATGCGGACAATTATTTTACTTATTATAGTGTTATAGTGATATTGAGCGTTTCCTCTTTCTCTGAACAAAAAGGAGGTAGTGGCAGTGTGAAGGGGTTAATTGCGTAATTAACCTGACCCAGTAACAATCACTCAGGCTGACGGCACATCGATCTGTTGTCCATTAGCTCAAAAATCGTTGTGCAGGGTGCAGCTGGGTGTTGCATTGTTACGCACATCACATCACGGTTGTAGATCGGTTAGCCCTTCGGTCACGAAGTTTGGTAAGAAGGTCTGGGGTCTGACGCCGCGATCGTGACAACTCAGTCTTCAGACTCGCTGAGGCTGAGCCAGTTGCCAGTTAGACATCTGGACAGATCCAGACATTATTGTCGGGATCCCTGCAGAGCCTGGACTGGCTCTGTGATGTCAGCAGACTTTAGCCCACTGTTGGCTGAATCTGGGTCACATGAGTGCAGAACTAAATGCACTCCTGTGACCCACAGGAGAAGTATGATCAAAAGAGCATACTTCTAATGTAAACATCATGAATGCAAGTATGCATAATCTGTGTTATTTTTTGTATTATCCATATTATCCTTATTTTAAACTGTCCACATGCCACCTTTCCTCATTTCTTCTTCTGCATTTGGGAGGTGATGAGGGCAGTGGTATCATATGAGGGAAGTGATCCCGCTGTTCTCTATGGGGCGGTTGGATGTAAACAAACTGCCTGTCCATTTATATCCGACTGTCATTTGATCCAATCCATTAAATGGATGGTGAACGGATCCATATCCGTCTAATTTTGGTGGACCGGATCGGATTTATTGCAGGCAAGTGTAAACAGACACATGACACCCGCCTGCCTATAGAGAACAATTGGTGGTCCAATTGTCTGTTTTTCAGACTGTCTGTTTTTCAGGTGGACCCGGTCGGTTCGCTCATGTGAATTAGGCCTTATTATGTGTGTAATAGAGCATTTCTATTCCTCCCTAACCCTCCCTCTCTCCTCTGATCGTTCACTTGTTATTTGTTCTAAAAAATGCAGCTGCCTATTAAATGATTGGTGAGAACACAAGCCTGGGAGGGGTCAGAGTGCTCTTTGCAGTGACCCTCTGTCCCTTATACCAATGTAGGAGCATAATGACATACTAAGAAGGAGATATGCAAGGCCTATGACCTCCGGGCTGCACAACCACAGGGACTGAAGCAAAGAGATCATAGAGAACCCTAAGTCCTGCACTGTGTCAGCACAGCAGCTGGGAGACCTTCTGGAAAAGCCTCAAGACACATACGTTTGTATACATGCACTAGATATAACTTGCAAATTTTAGTGTTTACGTAAAAAAAGAAAACCATAGTTCTGCCTGAGCATCTAGTAGACAGGAAATTGGCAGTACAATGTAATTTACCAGCTGTATATACTAGCAGCATTTCATGCCATCTAACATGCAGCAGTCATGTGTTTCCTCCTCAATTCAAGTTTACTCACATGGGGCCATTAATAATAAGAGCCATAAGGACATTCATATCCGCTACAAATTCCTGCAGATCTGGGTATGGAAGGTCAAGCTCAGTTGTCCTGTAATGAAAAATGTGCCATGTGATGGAAACATTTCATAACTGGGAAAGTGAACTGGCATAGAGTAAAAAGGAAGTACACAGGAGATATCGATTACAGTGGAAAAGATATACAGTATGTGTCCATAACAACAGCATAGGTAATATGAAACAAATGAGTTAAAAGTTTATCCCTGGTAATCAAAAGGGAGATAACACATTTCATTAATAAAATTAAAGAATATGTAAACCAGCACCGTGTAAAATAACCCATTCAGTTTAAAACAGAAATGAAAGGCAAAACATGTATATATACATATAAAAACATTACAGAACATTCCATCAGATCACACCCTACAGCTATTACCTTTTGTACCACCTCCCCCTCCCTTTAGATTGTAAGCTCTGTGAGCAGGGCCCTCCTATTCCTTCTGTATTAAACTGTATTATAATTTTACTGTCCCCCTTTACACTGTAAAGCGCTGCATAAACTGTTGCCACTATATAAATCCTGTATAATAATAATCATAATAAATACCTTTTTTCCCTTTTTTATAAGTGATCACATCTCTGTTCTCAGCTGCACAGAGAGCTGGAGGTTGAGAAACAGCAGCACGTTGATCTTCCCAGTGAATGGCTGTGCAAGGGGGGGAAGGGGTGTCAGCAGAATCTGATCATTGGAGGAGAGTTCCCAACACAACTTGAGAAATGACCATGCTGTGCTTGCATGCTTAGTGTGGTCAGTTTTTAATAGGAAAGCAAAGGGATTTGCAGGAACACCAGGGATTTCAAGGAAAGCAATACAAAGAGAACAGGGTACTTTTTCATCCAATTACATGGTACAGCAGGCACATATCAGGAATATGAAATGTTTGGTTTACATATTCTTTAACTAGAAGTGTTATATACAAATGAAGCAATCGGAACCCAGGATTCCAACCACCCACAGCCGCTCCCTCATGTCTCAACTTGGTCTAGCCTGACAGAAATAATCCAAAAGAAAGAGGCCATCAAAGCAGCGCTGCAATGCACAAGAGTATTACTGTAGAAAGCACATACAGTATACATGGGGAAATGGCAGTTAATGCCTTGACATATTTTGCACTAATGATTAAGCAGATGTTACTACAAAGCACATCAAGGCATTACCTGTTTTTCCCAATGAACAGTATCTGTGCCTTCTACATTAAAAAGAAATCTCCATGACTTGCATCACTGCTCCAGTAGGCTCGCTTTTGGATTTCAGAAGTGCTATATACCTGCCTATTCCAGCTTTGTCAGCTTATACTGGGAACCTCCAAATGTCTGCAAATCAGGTCTGTTTTTGATGTAAACTATCTTAATGACCAGAATTCCAGGTGTGTTCTGAAGTGGGCTGACAGTCAGGACCCTGATCTTGCCCTTTTCCATCCTCCAAGCCTCTGTTGGTTGCTGAGGCTGTCCATCATGGCAATGAGCTAATACTGCAGCTTAGAATATGGTATGGAGCAAGGACCCATCAGTTCATGAAGTATGTACATACCTGATCACTGGATGGTTTCAATAGCCTGGGGTTTTCAGTCACCTGTGGGGTTCTAACACTTAAAACAGACCTGATGTGGAGGCACTTTCTATTTACTAACAGTGCTCAAGTAGGTGCACATACAATACCATCATGGAAGACTGGCTGTAGCCAGAACAAGACAGTTTAAGTCGGCTTCTGTTTCAGCTTTCTCCAGTATGAATAGAATCAAACTACACCTGGCTACCTCTCTAACAAGAACAGTAGAGTTCCCTAATGAGACACCTATTCTGTTATGACCTATATTTACTAAAGAACAAAAACAGGTTGGGGTATGTACTGAAATCTCATTTACTCTATACAAAGGGCTGAATTAGAAAAATAGTATCCTTACGCATCTGTAATATCTCGCTTTGTGTACACATGAATCACACCATTGACCATCTTCAGTCCAAAATCCAAGTCAGAAGGCATAGTGCTTGGATCACATACTTCATATGGGTGCTGGTGAGAGAAGGGAGGATGAACAGGGGCATCTGTTTAAAGAAAAATGTACATGTATCAATATCTTAAAATAGCTAACAACCAAATAAATATAGTATATGAACATGTTATGTAAAAGTAAACAAAGGAAATCACCATCAGAAAGCTATATAAACTATATTATTCACCACATTATATTATTATTCTGACATCTTAATTACCTTCAGCTACAGGAGTATCAGCTGTTTCTTCATGGAGTGGACTCTCTAGAGTCTCATCACTGAGCTGCTTAAGGTGTTGAGAGAAGTGGTCCTGCAAAAACTCTGCATGGACAGATTCATGTATTTCTGTCGAATGAATAAAGCCCGCACCACACTTTTAGCTGCATCCAACAAATCTGTAAATGGAACCTAAAGAAAAAAAGACCCAAATGAGATGCAGCTCGCACTTTACAACAAGAATAAAACTGAATGGAACATAATAGATCCTAAAACAAGTGATGAGTTCCATCATACTTTCTACTACTAGATTGTAGAATGTTCTGGCTAACACCGCTATATGTAAATCAAGTACTCACTTCTAGCAAAGAAATAATTTTTTTCCCAAGATGATACATGCTTAAGGGCCAGTTCACACTAGATTTGTTTCAGTAGGTTCTTTTCTGCATCCAAAAAGCACAGAAAATAGGTTATATGGTTGTCAATGTCATAGTTCAAATCATTGCTTGCAGTTTCCATTGCGTTCCGGTTGCAGAAAAAAAAGTAAAACATGCTGCATTTTTTTCTGCACAGAACTGTACTGGAACGTGGTAAAACGCATCAAAAATGCACTGGAATGCACCAAAAATGCTCTGGAACGCATCAAAAACGTATCAAAAACACACCAGAATGCGTCAAAAACGTGCATTCAGAAATGCACCTGGAACGCATCTGGACTGTGTTTCTATAGTGTGAACTGGCCCTTAAATCTGGCAAACTTCAAAATTGTTTCATAACAATATGACATATGGAATTCTCAAAATTACACCATGGATTATTCAGTGGTGCAGACAAAAACCTCAGAGCTTTAGTGTGATCTAATGTAAACTGGTCTCAAAACTACACAATTCAAACTCAGCATATGACAAAAAATACATAGGAATAGTGAAGCTTTACACCTCTCCTTCCACCATTCTTGTCTCTATACTGGCCAGTGGTGTGCCCTACCACATTAAAGCCCTGTTGAAACCTCTTAATTCATTACTGTAGGTCAGCCACATAGCATGTAGAATAATAAATATGCTTTTTTTTATTTTTTTATTTTATCAGCTAAGTGCTTCAGCAACATTAGAAAAATAGCAACATAAGACCACTGCTCTCACACAAGCAGTGGCCCAACACACCCTACTGAACACTGAGCTTATAAACTTCGATCTCGAGCCTCAAGCAGTGCCATTTTTCCATGTAAGACAACTTGAGAGGTGTCAAGTCCAGTAAATCATGTATTGCTGAAGTATAGTCAGTCATCTTATGAAATTGTTTGCAGAGATATTCCATGGTTGACATAGTTATCAAATCTGAATGACGTCTCAAGGTAAGAAAAAGTGTGATAACTGAGAGTAGCAGTAATTTTTTTTTGCAAGTAGTTGGAATTTCACTTGCAAAAGTGAACTTAGCAAGATTCCCCTTTTGTTACACAAATTTGCTGAATGCAAAAAACCATAATTGGTCCACCACAAAAAATCTATAGTGGTAAGACATGGGGTAATTGCTGAATTGTGGAGAATAGGAGCTAATGAACCATGATTTGAATTTATGTGATACATTCAGCCGGTCCCATAAACTCAGAGAGTTAGATAGAGACTGGAATAAGAATGGGGGTCTGTCTTTGGATGGTATCCAAATAAGATGGCTGACCAGTCTGAGGGTGCAAGAAAATTATTCCAGAACTTGAGTGTTGGGAATGAAATATGAACTGCAACAATTGTGCAGATTGATAATATGTAAAGTGGTTTTAAAGGCAGAAGGTTTTTTTAATATAATGCATTCTCTGCATGAAGGTAAACAACATTATATGTGCAGCTCCCTCCCCAACCCCCACCCTATGCTTACCTGAGACTGATCTCGATCCAGCACTGTGCCTGAGAGCAGTGTCTCACTCATCTCTCATTCTCTGATAATTGGAGATCATGGCAGCAGTGGGAGCCATTGGCTCCTGCTGCTGTCAATCACAGCCAGAGGGGAAAGAATGGAGGAGCGGGGTCAGGCCACGTTCTGGGTGTCAATGAACACACACAGCAAGGCTCTCGGGATCAAGCCTGCATGAGTGCCCCCCTAGCAAGCCACTTGTTATCGGGGCAGTCGGCAAGGGGGAGGAGCCAGAAGCACTGGAGGGGAATCCCAGAAAAGGAGAATAGCGAATGCCCTGTGCAAAACCATTGCACGGAGCAGGTACGTATAGCATGTTTATTATTTTCAAAAAATCCTTTAAAGTAATTTAAGCAAATTTGGCCCTCTCAGTCCCCCCTTGATTTGGCATGCATAGGGTTCCCTTATTTACCCTTGGTATTTTATCAACCCATCTGAACAATTGATTTTGGTACATTTTGAGATCAGCAGGAGAAATGGCAATAGGAATGTTCTAAATTAATATAGGGTTCTCAGGAGGATATTCATTTTCACTGAACATATTTTACCTAACCAAGATGGGGGGTTTGGCCATCTGACCAAGTCCTTTGCCAGTTTTTTATAAAGAGGTAGGTAGTTTTTCTGAGGTCTGTAAAGAGGAAGCCAAGTGTATGCTTAAGTATGAAGGGGCATAAGATTTCCAGGTAAATAGAAAATTCCTCTCAATGTTTCAGAGGGTGATCGATTGGATGAATGATTCACTTTAAAGCCCGACATGTGAGATAATTATTTCAATACATCAAATAAATTGGGGATGGAGATTATTGACAGGGACAACATAATGAGGATATCATCCACAAATAAGGCATGTTTGTGCTTTTGACCCCTACATACGAAACCGTTAACGTCAGAATGTTTTCTGATCTGCAGGGCCAAGGGTTTCAATGCAAAGATAAACAGTATCACAATATATTGGTACCTCGGTTTATGAATTTAATGCTTCTCCGGCACGTTTCGTATTGCGAAACTCAGATTTCTCAAAAAAGAATAAATGACAATGCCCATTGAAGTTATAGGGGATATTTGCATTCCCTGTTATAGGATTAAAAGTGATCAAAAAAGAAAAATGAAGGAGACAGTGTAAAAATAATTTAAAAAATCAAAATAACTAAAAAAAAAAAAAAGTACCCTCGTCCTCCCCGCGGACGCAAGCATCTGCTTTCGTGAGCGTTGACCCTGTGCCAGTATGGAAACAGCGGTAGCACCATGCATGTGAGATATCTCCAGGAACGTCAGATCAAGGACAGTAATTCTAACACTAGACCTCCTCTGTAAATCTAAAATGATAGCTTGTAAAGGCTTTTAAAACGTTGCTTATGGATACTAAAAACATATGCAGTTTGTTGCCATTGCACGGGGCATGTGCAGTTTAAAAAGCATGTCATGTTTGGTATCTATTTACTCAGCATACCATCATCTATTATAGTTTACCAAATAATTGGCCAATATTTTGTGTTTTTGTGCATTAAAAGTAAAAAAAGTGTTTTTTTTTTTAAAAAACTGCGTTTGAAAAATTGCTGCGCGAGTACTATGTGACATAAAAAATTGCAGCATCCACCATTTTATTCACTAGGGTGTTTGCTTTAAAAAAAATATATAATGTTTGGGGTTTAAATTAATTTCCTAGCAAAAAATACAGATTTTTTTCATGTGAACAAACAGTGTCAGAAAAGGCTTGGTCTTTAGGTGGTTAGCAGAGTGAGTGATGTGTGGCATAAACTTCTTCTAATGCTGGGTATAAAATGCCCCACGCCCCAAAACAACCCCTTTTTGGAAATTAGACACCCCAAACTATTTGCTGAGAGGCATATTGAATCAATAGAAGAATTAATTTTTTTTGGAAAATGACAAAAAAATGTTTTTTTTATTTACACAAAATTGTAATTTAGATGATTTATTGCTCACACATGCTATGGGTATATGTGGAATTACTCCCCAAAATACATTCTCCTACTTCTCTCGAGTATGGGGGTACCACATGTGAGAGACGTTTTGGCAGTCTAGCCAAGTACAGGACCCCAAAATCCAATAAGCACCTTCAGGCTTTTAAAGGGCTTTATTTCCTCATTACACTTCCTGACTACCTATCACAGTTTCGGAGGCCTTGAAATGCCAGGATAGCACCAACCCCCCAAATGACCACTTTTTGGAAAGTAGACACCCCAAGGAATTTGATAAGAAGCATGGTGAGTATTTTGCAGATCTTGTTTGTTGGCACACGTTTTTTGAAAATTGAAGAAAAAAAAAAAACAAAAACATTTTTTTTCTTTTTTTTTTTATATTTCAAAACCTTGTGAGAACAAATGAGATCTGCAAAATACTCACCATGCCTCTTTTTAAATTCCTTGGGGTGTCTACTTTCCAAAAAGGGGTCATTTGGGGGGTTTGGTGCTACCCTGGCATTTCAGGGCCTCTGAAACTGTGATAGGTAGTGAGGAAGTGTAATGAGGAAATAAAGCCCTTTAAAAGCCTGAAGGTGCTTATTGGATTTTGCGGTCCTGTACTTGGCTAGACTGCCAAAACGTTTCTCAGTGAGGAAGTGAAATGGGGAAGCTACGCACCTTCAGGCTTTCAAAGTGGTCATTGGATTTCAGGCTCCTGTATGTGGCTAGGCTCCGAAAAAGTCTCACACATGCGGTACCTCCATACTCAGTAGAAGTAAAAGAATGTATGTTGGGGTGTAATTCCACATATACCCATGGCTTGTGCGAGAAAAATATAATTTAAATGACAACTTTATGTAAAAAAAAAAAGTTTTTGTCATTTTCCAGAAACGTGTGGAAAAAAAATAATTCTTCCATGGACGCAATATGCCTCTCAGCAGATAGCTTAGGGTGTCTACTTTCCAAAAGGGTAATTTGAGGGTGTTTGTACTATCCTGGTATTTTAGCACCTCAAGAAATGTGAATGGCAGTCAGAAAGTAAAAGTTGTGTAAATTCCATTATCTATACCAGGGGTGGGAAACTGTGGCCCTCCAGCTGTTGTAGAACTACAAGTCCCATGAAACATTGCAAAACTGACAGTTACAAGCATGACTCCCAAAGGCAGCGGCATGATGGGGTAGACAGCTGGAGAGCCACAGTTGCCCACCCCTGATCTATACCATAGTTTCTAGATGCTATAACTTTCACACAAAGCAATAAATATACACTTATTGGGATTTTTTTAACCAAAAACATGAAGCAGAATACATTTTTATATATCTTTTTTTTAAAAAAAATTTCTCAAAAATTTTTGTTTATAG